TGCACCTGAGACGGGCGATGTGTGCTCCCTATATGCTAAGCACAAAACCCTAATCCTTAACTTATCCCCTAAGCCAAATCTACAGTTCCAGCTGGGGTTGGTGTCCCCGGCTCACCTAGCGCTTAAGACAATCTTGGCCTAGACCCCAAATGTCCCCAAGGCAATCAAGCTTCAACTAAAGTCGTGTGTCGGGAAGATAAGCTTAAGTGCAATGCCGGAGCACAGTCGTCTAGATCTAGCTGTGTGCCTATAGCTATGGTGAGGGGCTGCCTTCACGAAAAAAAAGTCATGTGCACGATCCCTGCTGCTGCATCCTAGCTATAATCGATCCCCAGTAGTCGAGGCCCGAAGCAAACCCGTGGCTCTTGCTAGATCGGCTGTTGCTGCAGCACTTAACCCAGCATAATAAAGCCTTGGACCCCGAAACCTCGACCCCCCAGATACCCTTAATTTCTGAAGCCAAAATTAAATCAAAACCCTAAGATCTAGATATTCGGAGTTAGCCGTGTTGTTCTTGAGCTCGAGTGTAATTCAAGTTGGCTCCTATTTTATATTCGACATTTACAGAAGCTGCACCCACTCCTTGTGACAAGTACTAGTACTAGTAATATATATACATATATATATATATATTCGTTTATGTAGGAATGCATATATGTGTACGATCTGTATTGGATCTAGACCCTTAGACACGGTTCCACTTCCGCAGGTGTCTCACGAAAACCCAATCCAGCTGTCTCCCGAACTAAGGTGCATCCACTCTCCCTATAGAGAACCCTAAACCCCTAAACCCAAAACCCCTAAATCCCTAAATCCCTAAACCCTAAACCCTAAACCCCTAAACCCCTAAACCCCTAAACCCTAAACCCCAAAACCCCTAAAATGCCGGAATCGGAACCCAACTATTAAGCCCGAAACCGAAGCATAAAGAATAAACGAACGAGCCCTGCAATAGCCTGCTGAGCTGCAAACAAAAACCACCCAGATGCATCCGCCGCAGATGCAAGCACTGCCTTCGCAGACTACCTCCTATCTTCATTGGGGTCTGGTGTCCCCTTGCTGGAATGATGTTCGGAACTACTTAAAGCTTAGCCCTAGCTATATAAAGTATCGACGATGTACTACGTACTGGCACTGCCACTGCCACTACTGCTGCAGTACTGCGGCTGCCACTACCCACCGCTAGTACTAGTGCACTTATACTACTAG